TGCCTTAAAATAGATTTTTTTTGACAATGCCATGGTTAAGATGCTGTAAATAACATGACCCTTTGCTGACTCTCTCCATCTGACTCTCTCCATCTAAGTTTCCTGAATATCTTCATGTTTGTAATGTTAAGATATAGTCATGATTTTTCTTATCTTAGTTTGTTGATGTGATAGATTATAACAATTCATTTTTTAGTTGAACCAGCCTTGTCTATCCAGGACAAATCCTGCGTGGTTGTGGTGTATATTCATTTTATATATTGTAAGATGCAGTTTTATTATTTTTCTTGATGGCTTTTTTTTTTTGGTCGGTCGTGGGGCCTGAACTCTGGGCCTGAGTTCTATCCCTCAGCTCTTCAGCTCAAGGCTAGTGCTCTATCACTTGAACCACAGCTCCACTTCCGGCTTTTTTTTTTTTTGCCAATGTGGTGCTGAGGAATCGAACACAGGGCCTCATGCATGCAAGGCAAGCACTCTACTACTGAGCCACCTTCCCAGCCCTTCTTGATGGCTTTTATATCTGTGTTTATAAGAAAAACCAGTCTACTGCTTTCTTTTACTGGACTTGTAGGTTTTTTAGTCATATTTAGAAGTCTTTTTCATACTGATGTTTAAAGAAATTCCTCTATTATTTCTGGTACCTTTATGCTTCCACTTTATATATTGAAAATTTTAATATATTTAATACAGAATAATTATGGTGCAATTTGATATTTCCTGAGATCTGTCCATTTATACTATTATTTCTTGAAGAGACCATCAATTACTACTATTTTGCGAGGCTGTATTGTTTTTCTATACATTTCTGATCATCTCAGGATCAATTTTTTTGATCCACTTTCTTGGTTTATCTGTTGATAATGTAATAGTTTGCTTTGAGAATGGGAAACAAGTTTTAAGAAACTGATTTCTCACAACTACTCCTGATTCGGTTTTAGTTTTAATTTCTTTTTTTCTCTCTCTACTTTACTAATGTAAAAACTACAAATCTTTTCTCTGTACTAATGAAGTAGCAATTTGTTGACTCTCTGTAGATGACTGTAATATTTGACACTTTTTAAAAAAATGTATCTATAGAATTATTCATTTATAAAAGTTGAAATTTGATAAATAGGTGTCTCTGGAATGTCTTGTGAACTTGTGAGAGATTTGGTTGGAGCTTCCAAGAAAATGATTTACTCACATCTAGTTTGCTACAACCACTTAAGTACTGATGAGCTAGGAATTGCAAAGATAGTATTTTTTAGGAAGTTTTAAATAAAATGCACTTGAAAGAAGAATACTGAATGAAAAAATGCATGGTTCTGAGCAATATATCTTTTATTTATTCAATGAGGGATTTGGAATAATGATCATTAAAGTCCCCTCCAGTTCCTGTCAGTCTTATATTCATCTTCTTTCCCATTATTTCCTGGGGACACTTGGTTTACAAAGTGAATCCTTCCCTAGCGATTCCTAGGATTTCGGGCCTGCCATGCCTTCAGCTGCCTCTCTCCTAGCAATTACTGACCCAGTTCCATCTGATCCCTGGTGTGAACTTCACCTAGGGAGCTAAAGTTTAACTTGACCTGTCTTGCTAGCACACACTGACAAAAGGTCCCTGCTTTCATTTTCTTCATATTATAGAAATTGCTATTGCAATATAATGGTGGTGTTGCTGTATTTCAGTTTGGTTTTCCTAAAATGAAGGAAGTGACCTTAGAAAAGAAATAGAATGCTCTTCTTCATTTTTCAGAGTAAGAAGGTTTGTATTTGTGTGTGTTTTTGTGTGTGTGTGAGTGTGTGTGTGTGTGTGTGAATGTGTGTGTGTGTGCATTTGTTGTACAGTTTTTTTTTTCCTTAACCACCTGGGTACAATAGTCTACTTCTTTTTCAGTCTGTTACCACCAATAAGTTTCTTTATAAATTATTTTTGCTGGACTCCTGGATAAAAATGGTTATCTCTAATATGTGAAAGTCATTTCCATCAACCTTTTTTAAAAAACTAGATTTGAACTGATTTTACATAAACCTTTTTGATTTTGAAGCTAAATAATACTTGTTTTGTTTAGTTTATCTAATCCTCTAATCATTCCATCCTTATCATTTTTCCATATGCATTATATCTCTCTGTAGATTGCAGAACAAGAAGGAAGATGAGAAGGAAGCATTGTTCCATGTCATTTTCATGATTATTTCCAAAATGATGTTGTTCTTGCTCTGGTTAAGCATCATCACAAAGCTTCTGTATGGCTTAATGCCCTAGTGAAGTGTGTGTCCCCAGTGATAGAGAGCATTATGGGCATGAGCGGTACACATGTACCAAACAACTCCACCATGGATTTAATGTAGTGTCCCTGCTGTTTTGAAATTCTTGATAGGTTTTTAGTAAGAAGATTTTGCTTTCAGTTTGGATTGAGTCTTATACATTTAAGTAGGTGATTTTGATTATGGCTGATTGAGGACACATTTAACCAATCCTCTGTAGTAATCATGGTAGCTGGACGCAAGGTGAGGAAGTTTGGTTATTAATCTGCTGCTTAGTGAGACACTCACTTCTCCCTTGTTACCTCTCTATAGTCTCTTGGGCTTTGGCTCATTATATTGCTCCATGTGTCTCAGCCCAGGCACTGATGTATGATTGTTCATGGAATCCAAACTTTGGATTATTCACTCAACAGTTAATCTTTCCAGAAGCTTCTTTTGCAAGGTCCTTTCTGTCCTTTACATCATTGTAGTTTTATTATCTGGTGACTGAAGTGTTGCCTAGCCAGTCTTTTTTAATTTTTTAAAAATTACCTTTGGTTTTACAGAGGGGTTTAAATTCAACAGTTATGAGCATGATGCATCTTAAAATGGCATTCCTTCTGTCATTCTCCCTTTTGTTCCAACCTGTCCAGTCATTAGGAGAGTTCTTCCTTTCTCTGCTTTTTATTTAAATCAGGGCAGTTGACAGTTTTGTACATTAGTTATATTTCTGGTCAAATTTTGGCCCTTCTCTTTCTCTGAAAGAGGTTGATATGCTAATGATGAAAGTGTGCCTTGAGTAGAAATTTGGACTCCAACCCCTGTATCAAGATGTTGGAATACGTGAGGAAGTAATTTCAAAAGGTTTCAAAGTCAAGTCATGACTTCTGAATTTGATACCATCCCATTTGTCAATTTTTGCTCTTCTATTTGGAACAATAAGAATCCTGTTTAAAAATAATAGTCTATGCATATATCACCATGTTTTCCCATAATGCTTTCAAAGTCTCAGGTCTTACTTTTAAGTTATATTTTTAAATCTTTTTTAAGCTTATTTTTTATACAAGGTGAGAGACAAGGCTCCAGTTTCAATCTTCTCCATGAGGATATCCAGTTTTTCCAACAGCATTTATCAAAGAGGCTATCTTTTCTCCAATATGTTTTTCCTTCCCATATGGCCCAAGCCATATGGTCTGCCTGCCTATTTTTGTGCCAGTACCATGCTGTTTTTGTTACTATGGCTTATAGTATAACTTGGCTTTGGGTATTATGGTATCTTCTAGCATTGGTCTTCCTCCCCAACCCCAGCCCCAGGATTGCTTTGGCTAGTCAGGCTCTCTTTATGCTTTCAAATAAATCTTTAGTTTGATTTTTTTTTCATTTCAGTGAAAAATGACATGGGATTTTCTTGGGGATTATACTGAATCTATAGACTGATTTCAGTAATACAGTAATTTTCACAAGCTTTAGCACATCTAGGGAACCAGTCTTCAGAAACAAGAGACAGTGCACAGAATGGGGTAAAATCTTTACACACTATTTATCAAAGGATTACTATTGAGAATACTTTTTTTAAGTCAAAAGTTGAAGAGCAAAAGAACAAAGTATCCAAGTAATAAGTGGGAAAATGAATTGACCAGATAGCCCTTTATAAAAGCACAAATGGCTAATAAATGCATAGATAAAAATTCCAACATTCTTAGCCATAAAGAAAATGCAAATACAAACAGAACTGATATTCTTAATTTAGTCAGAATTTCTGAAATTAGGAAAACAACAACAAAGACTGGTGTGAATGTGGGGGAAAGAATCCCTTTTACATTGTTGGTGGGAAAGTAAATAGGCTAGCAACGATAGAAGTCAGTTTGGTGTTTCCTCATGAAACTAATTCAGTAATTCTACTGAATTACCAAAAGATCCTAAGTATATATCTGAAGAAATGTAAATCAGCCTAGAAGGGAGATACCTACATACCCCTGCTAATAGCAACACTATTTACAGTAGCTGAGATATGAAACCAGCTTACGTGATCAGCACCTGAGGACTGGATTAATCAAATGTACTGTCTACGTATAATGGGATATCATTATTCAGTATAATGAAGAATGGAATTTTATCACTATAGGAAAATGAATGGAACTGGAAATTGTTACATTAAAAGAGATTACCAAACTCAGAAATACAAATATTTCATGTTTTTCTTTATATGCAATTTCTCAGTGTAAAAAAATGATATGGCTTTATGTGGAATGCAATAATCAGTAAGTGGAAGGAGGTGGAAAGGAGAGGGTAAAGTGAGTGAATATTACAAAACCATATTATGTTAATGGATGAAAAGAAATGCTTAAAAAGAGGAGGTAAGTGAAAGGGTAGTTAAGAAAGAATCACGTGGGGTTGGAGGCATGGCTTAATTGGTAGAGCACTAGCCAATGAGTGAAAGTATCAGGTACCAAGTTGAGTTCCCATCTTGGATTTTTTTTTTAAAAAAAATGAAAAGGAAGAAACAGTACATGGGTGAATTTGTTTCAAGAATATTGTATGAAAATTGTAAATATCACAGTGAAATCTCATTGTACAATTAATTTGTGCTAATAAAATTATAAATATTGAACCATAAGTGTAAGCAGTAGACTATTTTAGTTTTCACTTTTCCTGGTCGTACAGCCAACTATGGATACAAATCTAATACATATACAGCAAATGTAACTTTTAATAATGATCTTACAATATGTATTGATTCAGTTATCAAATTATTTTTTCTTTTTTCATTACAGCTTAACAAACAACAATTGCAGTTACTGAAAGAACGGTTCCAGGCCTTCCTCAGTGGGGAAACCCAAATCATAGCTGATGAAGCATTTTGCAATGCTGTTCGGAGTTACTATGAGGTGAGCTTAAGGAACATTAGAGCATTGTGGTGCTTTTTGAAAGATTGTTTGATGACTTTCCCATTTTAAGAAACTTCTGGTCAGATCTAAATCACACACACATATATATGTATATATGAAAATACATAGAGTTATATACATACATACATAAACATAGCAACTAAAGTATGGTATGAGCAGTGGAGGATTGCAATAGTGTCACTACCTTGAACAACAAATTCATAGTTTAACAAAATGAGTACCAGGAACTTGGTGCATGTGTTGCTGGGAAAGGGTGAGATGAAGATGAGGGGAGGCAGACAAATGGAGAGAGAAAAGGTGGCAAATATAGTCATACTATTCAATGTACATATGTGAAAATGTGACTAGATAACTTGAAGGGAAGGGTGGGTTTGGAAGAGATTTGGGACATTGATTGGAGGTGAGACATTGTCAAGATGCATAGTACTTGTAAACAGATGTGTTCAATTGAACTCCTTTATACAACTACTTAAAAATATTTTTAAAAAGTAACAAAAAGAAACTCTCTGGTATATTAGAAGGTTTGTGCATTTGCCACCTTCTTAAAGCATTGTTGGTTTTATTTCTCAATTTAAAAGCTCTTTTAATTCCATAGCCTGGCTTTGAGAGATAAACAGAATGGGAAATTATTCACGTCTTTGGGAAAGTAAACTATTTAGAAAAATTTTCTGGCAGTGATTGATACAGCTGAATATATCTATCTTCAGGACCACACATCTAAGTTATCCTTTCTAATCAGGATTTCAAATCGTAAATGGCTATCTTATGCTGTTTTATTGCTTAAGCTTAGACTAATTAAAGGCCAATAACTAATTCCAACAGGGTAAATTGATTTTTCTTTTCTTCTGGAAGGAATGATAGCACAGTACTGTCTTGCTGTTTTACTGTTCCTTTTGGTTTACCTTGTGACTCACAAGGAATTCTCCGTGGATTTCCTATGTGCACCACTTTTCACACATAGTCATTAACTACTTCAGTGAGTTGCCAATAGTTGTTAAGTTAGATGAGCTCCCTTTTACTTCCTAAGCATTTCAGAGCCGTTGGGAAATGGTTCTTTCCATTGTGCATGTCCTTTCAACCTTTCCGCTGAAGAAGTATAGCATGCAGTCACACAGTAGATGAGTAGAAATTGGGAAATTGGAGAAACTGTGGTACAAACTTTCCTGTGGCAGGAATATTTTCATGTAAGAAACAAAGTATCTACTGGATGAGGTTTGTAATTTGGGGATGGCATATATATACATCAGAAGTTCCCTAATACATCTTCAGGAAAGTGTACTTTACCCTTCCTTGGCCTATTGACTCAGATGAATGAAGAGAAGTGAGGAAGAGAATTCAGTCCAGAGTCAATGTATATTTTATAAGTGAGGGAAGGGGTGGGAAGGAAGGGTTAGATGAGAATGTTAAAAGGGGTGGCATTGTTTAAGATGCCTTATGCTCATAAATTGCCTTTGTTGAGTGACAAATCCTATGTACAACTACTTAAAGATAATAAAAATATATTAAAAGTAGAATAAACCTTAAAAATGTACAGAAGCACAGCTTGCTAAGTATGAAGAAATTCAGTGGCTATAGTAGATATGCTGTGTAACTATCCTACCATACGGTCTTACATCTTCTCTTGCAAGATTGAACACCTCATTCTTCCATGGTAAAATCTGGCTGTGAATCTTAAAAAAAAAGAAATGGAAGATATATAATTTCATCATGTGATAAAGCAAAAGCTAAAAGTCCATATTCAAGTCCAAAGAAATGCAGCAGTGAAATTCATTTGTGTAACTATTCATTTTATAAAACAAAAGTCCAGGTGCTAGTAGCTCATTACTGTAATCCTAGCTTCTCAGGGGGCTGAGATCTGAGGATTGCAGATTGAAGCCATCCCAGGCAAGAAAGTCCATGAGACTCTTATCTCCAATGAACTACAAAACAAAAAGTCAGAACATACAAGTGGAACTGTGGCTAAGGTGTCAGAATATTAGCCTTCAGCAAAAGAAATTTGGGGACATCACTGAGGCCCTGATGTTCAAGCCCCACAACCGGCACCAAAGGGAGAAAAAAAGAGAGAGAAAGAAAGAAAAATACATTTCAGCTTTTCACATTAAATAGAACCTGATGCAAATGATCTAAGCACATGCAAATTTAAAGCACATCTCAAAGATTGCATACCACTAGATTGTTGAATATTTAATGTAAATTTGTATGTAGATTTCAATAATATACTTTAAAATGAACATTCCTATTCTGTAATACTTTTATTTTTATTATTTTTAATTTAATTTTATTGTCAAGGTAATGTTCAGAGGGGTTACAGTTACATACATAAGGAAGTGAGTACATTTCTTGTCACACATTGCTACCCCTCCCTCATTTTCCCCACTTTCCCTCCTTTCCAGGTCCCCCAAGTTGTAAAGTATATTTCCAACTAGGTGCCCTGTGAGTATCACTGTTGCATTGGCTTGCCCTTCCTCCCTTGCCTCATCATTCTGTTGTTCCCCTTCCCTTCCCTTCCCTAATTCCGATAAACATATATACAATAAACAGGGAACCAAAATCAAATACACTGACAACAGTGGATAAACCACAGGAGAAAAAACAATTAAAAAAAGAATAACTTTATATACTACATTAAAAACAACAACAAAGATAAACCTCTGTTTCCATACCTTGGAGTTCATTTCACTTAGCATCATCTTCTATAGTCATATGTACATAGCTATTGAGCTATTGTGATCCTCTTCTTTTTTTTTTAAGTTTTTTATTGTAAAAATACTGTACAGAGGGGTTACAGTTACATGAGCAAGGTAATGAGTACATTTCCTATCAATGCTTCTTCCTTTGTTTTTCCCCTATCATCCCTTCCCTCCCACCTCCACAACTACACTCACCCCCCTCCCACCCCACCACCCCCCGCCTAAATTATAAAGTTCATTTTCAACGTAGTGTCTTGTACACCTCATTGTAATAATGGATAATTTTATTCTAGACATTAATAATTACAAATGAGGGAAACCATGGACTGTATATTTCTTTGGGTCTGACTTACCAAACTCTTACAAAGCTACAGTAAGAAAAACTGGCACAAGAGGAAGCCTGAGGACTAATAGAATAGAATTAAAGACCCAGAAATGAACACACAGATTCATAGCCACCTAATCTTTGACAAGGGAGCTTAAGAATGGAAGAAAGGTAGCCTCTTCAGTAAATGATTGGTTAATCACCTGTAGAAAACTAAAGCTAAATCCTTATATATTACCCTGCACCAGAAGCAGTTCCAAGTGGATCAAAGACCTTAGAGTCAAAGCAGACACCATGAAAACATTACAGGAAGGAATAGGAGAAACTCTGGGTCTCCTTGGCACAGGCCGAAATTTTCTTAATAGAGACTCAGAAACACAACAAATCAAAGAAAGGTTGGACAAATGGGATTGCATGAATTTGCAGAGCTTCTGCATGGCAAAGCGCATAGTTAGCAAGATTAATAGAAAGCCCATGGATAGGCCTCTCTCTCTGTATGACCTGTGCAACTCAGACTGAGGCTCTCCTAATGTGTTCCTAGCATTGGGCTCTTGTGGCCAAGTGCATAAATTTGAGAATTTCTGGCTTCATTGCTGACTAACTTGTTAATCTACATACTAGTGAAACAATTTTTTTTAACAAGGGTCTCTTATCTAAAATGTACTTGGAACTCAAAAAATTTAATCCCCCAACAACAAATCCTCAAAGAAAAACTGCCTGATAAATAAAGACTTAAAGAGAAACTTCTCTGAAGAGGAAATAAGAATGGTCAATAGATACATGAAGAAATGTTCAACCTCTGGAGCAAAGAAATGCAAATCAAAAAACATTGAGATACCACCTCACCCCAGTTAGAATGGCTATAATCAAGAACTCTAATAACAACAGATGCTGGAGGGGATGTAGACAGAAGGGAACCTTACTGCATTGTTGGTAGGAGTGTAAACTTGTTCAACCACTTTGGAAAGCAGTATGGAGGTTCCTTAAAAGACTCCACATAGAGCTCCCCTATGACCCAGCAATTCCACTTTTGGGCCTTTACCCAAATGACCACAAACAAGACCACACTAAAGCTACCAGCACAACTATATTTATTGCAGCATTATTTACCATAGCTTAGATATGGAATCAACCCAGATGCCCCTCAGTAGATGAATGGATCAAGAAAATAGGATGTGTGTGTGATATATATATATAATATATATATATAATATATATATATATATAATATATATATATATAAACTCACACAGTGGAATTCTATGCCTCCATCAGAAAGAATGACATTGCCCCATTTGTGAGGAAATGGAAAGACTTGGAAAAAATTGTATTAAGTGAAGTAAGCCAGACCCAAAGAAACATAGGTCCCATGATTTCCCTTATTTGCAATAACTAGTACCTGTCTAAGACAAGCAGAAAAGGCCAAACGCTAAGTACATATGACCATATAAGATGATGTTAAGCGAAATGAACCCCAAGATAGGGACAATATCTTTTTTTCTTTCTTGCTATTGTTTCTAACATATTTATAATGTATCATTTGATTTTTTCCCTTGCTTTGTATGTTTCTCCCCCACAATATAACCCCTATTTTCACTATATTTGATGTTGGTGCCTTGCATCTTATATATACATTTCTCTAATTCAGGGAGGGGAAGGGAAAAAACAAAATGCTTAAATACGGATGCAGATTGATCCATTGTAACAATGAGATGTACAAAACACTATGTTAAAAATGAACTTTACAACGGTGGGGGGGGGGCTGAGGGGTAGTTGTGGATGTGGGAGGGAAGGGATGGTAGGGGGAAAACAAAGGAGGGGGTAACAACGCTCAATGGGAAATGTACTCATAACCTTGCTCATGTAACTGTAACCCCTCTGTACATCATTTTTACAATAAAAAACGTACAAAAATAATCAACTTCTGTTCATGAAAATTGGGAAGAGTTCCAGTTCTCCCCCTA